TGTTAAGAAGATGTTAGCTAATAGAGACAAGTTTCATCCTATAACCAGAGAACATTTTCTAACTGTTGACTGGTAAATATAAATATTCTTGTTTTTTATGACAGTAAGAAGAAATAATAAATATAMTTTATTACTAGCTGAAGTCATCATTTGTCAACTAGCTAAAACGTCTAGTTACAGGCTGACTTCAGGTCTGGATTAGATCATTGTTATTTACAAATTATATATTTTTCTGGTATATATCTGCTGTTTTACATGATTGTTGAATGAAATTAACATAGTTATTAATTTATTTTAAAAACATGACCAATAATCTGTGAAACAGATCCGGTTCAGCTTGCTGTTTATTTATTAGTTTCTATGGTGGCTGTGAGCTGTTGCCCTGTTTGGACTCTGTTTCTGCTCCTCCATGCTGTCACAGAGGTTACCAGTGGACGGTATGGGCGGGGGTCAGTCTAGTGATCTATATTATTTAAGTCTATGTTTGCACATCAGCCGTGGTGAACCTTCAAATGATGACAGCTTCTTAAAGTTGCATCTGCTTCAGGTTTGAATTTATTCTATTCTATTGCATGTTTTATCCAGAACTGAGTAATTAGTATTGAACAGTTCTTCAAGCAGTGGTTTAGTGGTCTTTCTTCAAAATTGTCTTATTTTTTAGCATTGTTGTTCCTGGAACAAATAAACACTGCTCCATGCCTGAATAGTCCAGCTTTCACTGAGGACCTTTCTGGCCAAAGAAAACTGCAGAATGATGCAGGTTCTCCATAACAGCTTATAGTTCATAGACAAATGATATGTGTGAACAATGTCATGTTRGATTGTTTATGTCTCGGGAGCAGTTAGACATGCAGAAGCAGGATGTCAGGGATTTATCTCTGTGCAATCAGGTCTCCTGAATCAGTCAGAGATGGCCTGAAATCAGACCCTGTGGCTCCTTGCACCATGATGTCAGGAGTAATGCTGGTGTCTACTCACAACATTGGCAGATTGGTCCTACTTCCTCAGTGCCTCCATATGCACACACAAAAATGATCTGTGGTAATTCATAACCAAGATTCATTACTGAGTATGATACAACACCACTCGTCATCAGTTYCACCACTCCAAACAACCTGTTCTGCTGTGGTGCCACAGCTTATGCATAGATGGTGAACACTTAGCCTGGTGGATGAACGTCATTAAGACTTGGGTGATGTACTTAGCCCATTACCTGTGTCTTGATGGAAAGTCAGCAGGTTTTGTATTGTATTATTTTGTATTGCAACCTTGACTTGTTATTTTAACTAATTGTTAGATGCTCTAGAAACTACTTGGTATTGTTAGGTTTTGCTATATGAATGGCTAAAAGGCACAAAATATACACAAACTGCAAAAAAACTGTAGGAAAAATTAATTAGGAAAACAATATGAATACTGACTCAGCATTCTTGCAAAATTAGTAGCCCGTCAAACATTTAGTTTGGTCTGTTTCTTTCAAGACTGTATTATTTGTCAAAATTTATGTTCTCACATTAGTCATTTAAAAAATATCAATTAATGTTAAGATCTAAACTAGAGATTCTGTGTGGTCGCATGTTTCTGTAACATGACCCTTCCTGTTTGTGCAAAGAGCTGAGGTAGTACCAAATGTGTTTGGTTTTAGCAGACACCATGRTGGAATCTCTTAATGGAGTGCTTCATAATTTATTCTTTTGAAATATTTTTTACCATGATTTAGTAAGATGTGGATTACCTTGTATGACTGGGTGTTTAACATCACATTAATCCAAGTCCTTCCTACATCCTAATATTTTGATAGMACAAATCAACTCATGCAGCAGTGTTTCTTGGTCTCCATCCAGTAAAAGCATGCTGCTATGTGAGATGGATAATTCATTTATTTCACAAGCCTGCTCAGAGGTTCCCTGCTGCTCATTAGAAGCAGGAAGTTCATCACAACAAGGCAACTCAGCTTCACAGAAATATGAGTCTCCTCATAAATTATCCTCCTACGCTGAGTAGGGACTTTTTAATGCACCAGTGGAGATGAGCACTCCCATTTTTGTTGTGGCGTGCTTTCCAGCTGGCATCACCCACCTATTCTGACATGATGCTGGGATCAAAAAATGATTTATGAACTTTGTCTTCCATTATGAGGACATTGCAACCTTTTTGCATTAAGAGGAAGCTGATTGTTCATCACATTTAGGCCCATTTTTTCACATCCWTGATGCTTACAAGAGGCWCTRTTAWGATGGATCTCACATGAGCATCACCACTTGGTGTCTCAGTTTGGTAACTTTAATGATGGTGCATCTCCATTCAAACATCTCTGTTATGCTTTACCATTGGTTAAAAACAACCAGTTAGTGACGGCCGAGTTGGGCCTCCTCATATTACAATTCACCATAATGACAACTTTCAGGCAAGGGAGTTGCTCATTGTCTCGTTAATAACATGGCACATGGAGGTGCTTGAAGTACACTATGATCTCTTGGTGCTYAGAGGTTAGTGTGATTTGTGATGTAACTTTAGTCCTCGCTCCTTCAGAATCCTGTTCAAGAACAGTTTTGATATTTTTTATTTATTAATTCTTTTTTAATTGCTTATTTATTTATTTGGCAGTATGATCGATCAGTGGTGTCTTACAGCAAGAAGGTCCTGGTTTTGATCTCTGGTTTCGACCCGGGTCTATGTGCAGTTTCCATGTTTTCCTTRTACTTGGGTTTTCTCTGGGTTCTCTGGTTTCCTCCCACAGACTCCTCCAATATTCATGTTAGGTTGCCTTCAGACCCTTGCCTCCCTTGCATAAGAGATCTATGATCACAATAGGATTTGCTTGGTTAAATAAATAAATACATAAAATAATTGTTGTAAATTAAGGAATGTTTCCAACCAAGTTATCAGCTATAGCAGATATACACATGGACAAAAATGTTGGTACCTCTCGCTTAATGAAAGAAAAATCCATAAT